ACGCACGTACAATCTCTCACTAGGGCACACCGGGAACTAGTTTTCTTCCGGAAAAAAAAAAAAAACCCCCAAAAAAAGCTACAGTTAGGGCATAAGTCATGAAGTGTTTGCTGCAGAATTGATGAAATAATCCCACTAGGAAAAATTAGGGGAAATACAAAAAAGATCCTAACAGAAATGTGTTTATAAAAGGATATCAAAGGTGCTGACCAAAAAGAAAAATTTCTAATTTGAAAAAAAAAATTGCCTTGGCTCAGGAAAAAAAAAGCTGTTATGTTTATTTTCCTAAGTTAGATGAGAGCCTGATTTCACTATGAGAACACATATTTCATAACCTCAAATGTAGAAAAAAATACATAATTTTGAGGACATAATCTCAAACTCGTAAAGTAGAGTAAAAATACAATTCTAAATATTTCATCACTCTATTATACTATTGCTATGAGCTGGGGGGTTTTAAGTTAACATATTTATTAAGGAAATAAGATAAATTCTGCCCATTGCAAATCAAATTTTAGCATTGCCTTCCTTTTAAGTCAACTTTCTCTTTTTGAAATCACTCAATCACACTCACCATACACACACACTCATTATGGCAAAGTGTTTTTAAATATATTTACATACATAACAATATGTGTATAACAAAAATTCATAGCTCTAGACTTTGTGCAAACACGTTATCGGATATGACGATATGGCAATCTCATATGGAAATTAGAACAATAATATTTGTGACCAACAGAAACTGAGCAGCTCCTTGGCCCAAGGACTTTCTCTCCTCCTCCACCACCCTGTAGATACGAACAACCCGTTCTCCATTCCTTGGTAAACAGAGATGTGGAAAATGGTGTCATTTTTTTTTTTCGTAAATCAATATATCGTGACCTCAGTGCTTTCTTATCGTATCTCCATTTTTAATAAAATACAGCATTTGCATAGCGCAAATAACAGTGAAAACAGTTCATAAAAAAGAGTGAGCTTAAGAAGAAGTCAAATTTTCACTGTTTTAGATAAAGAATATTTGGAGATACGACAAGAAAACACTGAGGTTGCGATATGTGTCACGACGCGGGGGAATCGGACGCTCGTCAATTTTCGGGCATAACAAATTACTGGTATCATCTTAAAGCCTGTTTATTTACCATGCTTTGAGAGAAAAAATACCTTATTTATCTTAAATAATTCGAGACACTTGTAATTGTAGGAGGTGGGGGGGGGGGGGGTCGCCTGGTTCCAGAAATAACATTAGCGAGAAAAAGAAAATGACAGCCAAAATTCTGTGACTTCCGTAGCCTGAGAGTCCTCGGAAACTGAGAATTTACATTTTTTGTGCCTTTAATCAACCTCTTTTTCAGGTTCTTAAATGAACACACAAGGTGCTGAGTTATAAAATGAAAAATTCAACGAAAATTGCCAAACTGGCGGATAATTGCCGGTATCTTTGATTTCTTCATTATTTTGATAAGTGCTTAATTTCACCATGCTGCCTCACATATATATATATATATATATAATATATATATATATATATATATATATATATATATATATATATATCATGGCATTAAGGATGTTCACCCCTTTGTGATAGCTCATGTATATCGTACGTTGAACATCCTCAACCAAGATGACATGCTCCCATAAAATGTCACGTATGTCCAAAAACTCACCCTGTGGTAGGGATTTTACTTCTGTTCTACAACAGATTTGAACAGAATTTTAACGGAAAACGAATCATAGTTTCCAAATCAATAAGTGCATCAATAAAAATAGAAAAAAAAAATGCTAAAAAAAATAAGTGGACAAGTTAGATATTAGCGCGATTATATGATCTTATGCAGTTGCGAGCGCCGTAAAATTCTTACTAGACTAACGTTAAATATTACGTGTAGAACCTAACATTACAAGGCCACGTACAAAATTCAGAAGATATGGGAGCAAACATTGCCTTACAAGCCACACATAAGCCCTAACAAATCATTGGACAATCAATAATATACACTGTTTTAGCCAAGGCGATCACTGAACCTAAGTACGTAGACACAGGCAGAAAAAAACGAGTATTTGTTGGCGACGTTTTTCCAGAAAAAATTTTTTTCCGGCTGATGTTACAAATGGATAGCTGCGGTAGTCAATCTATTCACAATGCACCCATGAAAACTTGATTACCAGCATGAGGGAATGACATAAATATAGATTATAGCTTGGAAACTAAATAAATACTTATATATATGTATATATATTATATATATATATATTATATATATATATATATATATATTTATAAAAAAGATATTTAAAAAAACAAGATAAATTGACAATAATATTGCTTTCTTATAATATTATTATAATTGTAGTGTTGGTCCCCGAGTGTGACAAAACTTTGCCTTCTATCGACATTTCCGCGACGTAGACGCCTCCTCTAGAGTAGTGCTGGGCGGCCAAATTCCCGATAAATGAAAGCTAGGAATCGTAGGAATCGACTCCGAACCCAATACTTACTTTCTAATGAGGGTGAAGAAAGAATGGTGTATGTAGTGAATTGTTTACACTCACAAAGACACAATTTAAATTGTTTGGGAATCTTTTTTTAAAAAAAAGGTGGTGAGGTTTGGGGGTGGGTGGGCGGGTGGGGAGACCCAGAATTCTGTCCGTTTACAGTTTTGGATACATCATGGCACAGAAAAAGACATACTCAATACAATTCCTTTCCTATCTGGGACTCGAACTCATGCCCAAAAGTTCAAAAGTCGTCTAACTGATGAAAGAACCGACCGAGTTGTTCAGGGTAAGTGTGAAAACATGAAGAGGGAGCAGAGGGGGACAGAAGAACACAGCACACTCCAGCACGCATGTATCGAACACACACACAGCGAACACACACACACATAGCGAATACGCACACAGCCAAAAACTCACATAATTATGTGATCACACACATAGCGAACACAAACACACAAAGCAATCCCCCACATACATGTATATAAATGAACACACACATAGTGAAAGACTAACTTGATAGCAAACAGATTTCAAGGTGCCGGACTTTTTTTTTTCTCACATATACACATTCTTTGTACTTTTAAAACATGAACACATACTAGAGAAAATTAGCGAAATTTGCGCATTAAAAAGAAAAAAAGTATAAAGAATCTCGCCAATTTCGCTATGTGTGCTTGCTAGCCTGCACTTGTTTAGCTATGGCCAAATCCCTGAGAAGGAAAGTGGAGGGTCTTTGGAAGGGGGAGAGGGGGTGGGGGG